AACAACAGCAACAACAGCAACAATAACAACACTAACAACAGCAACAGTAGCACCAGCAATAATAATAAAATTGTTTGTGTGCTTGGCCCTGCTGGGCATGTAGCTGCTGCTGCCGCCGCTGCAGCTGCAGGAAATCACAGTTACATGAGTAAATCCACTCGAAAAATGCAACAGCAGCAGCAACAGCAGCAGCAGCAATTACAACAGAAACAACAACATCAGCAAGAGGACCAACAGAAGCACCACCAAAACAGATTTAACCGAGGCGACCAGCAACATCATCATAAAATCAACGAATTGCAAAATTAATGGAATTGCAATGATTTTTTATGGTTAGCTGAACCATTGCTGTTGTTGCTTTCCTTGTTGCTGTTGTTGTTGTTGTTGCTGTAGCTGCTGCTGCAGTCAAAATGCATTTGCAACAGCCACTCACACAGGTACATTTCTGGACAAAAAAAAAACAAACAAAAAATGATACGTATATAGTATATATGTACGGCCTGAAAAAGCGAATGGGAAAGTACAAAAAGAGGATGACAGTAAAGTCAGAGCTCCATTTGAAGCTTTTCAACACACTCGCACATTTTGTGGAACTCATGTTTGTCTGCATGTATGAGCTTAAGCCATTAATGCCCTTTCTGTATAATATATATATCGCCATTTTTTTTGCCCCAAAGTAAGCAGTTTTTACTATATATAGCTATAATTGATGAAAAGCTAATCAGGCTATCAGGAAAAGTGTAGAAATTGGAATGACACAAGGCTGACAACTATTTTTTATACCTTAAATGAAACTTTGTGTATATTTATATTAGAAAAAAAATTATTCGCCAATTGCTAACATGTGGCTATAGTCCAAGAGAAATCACTTTGAATTTAAAATAAAATTCATAGAAACCATAAACTATTGTAAGCTTTTCAATCCAATACTTAAGAGGAGGCCATGTAGAAATGGAATCAAAACTGTCCCTTTCTTTAGGAATGAGATGTTGAGATGTAACTCGACTCAGAATGGCTGAAAATTAAAATTAAAATCTTTTGTTGTTCGCTTGTCTGAGCTGTAACCTAAGACGCTTAAGCACCTTACTCTGTAATTTACCAGCATTAGAACAAAACAGATTTAGGTCAGTCACAAGAAACCCGAGCTCATTGCCAATATTATTAAATTTCTGCATGCCAAGGCAATTTTGTTGAAATTGTAGTTCTAGCTAAGTTGCTGGTAATAACAGCACTTTATTTACTTAACGGGAAACTTACGCTTTTATTGGCTGCCTCGGTTAGTTGACAGCAAGTGGAAATGCGATGAGGACGATGCAACCTCTCAATGAACGCCTTTCTTGGTGAAAGGCAGCGGTTTTTGGTTAAAGAGCTCCCTTTTTTAACCTAACAAACTTGATTACATTTTTCACTTATTTTCTGATTTTTCCACTCGGATGCGGACATGCACCGTACCGTTGTTGTCAGCGTCAGACAGCGCAACCAGTGGCTTTCGTAAACGACAATAAAGACGGTAAGGATGGAAAAATTGGCTCTAAATTGCATGGTTTGGTTTTTGTTGCACTTAATTTTAAACCAGTTATGTATAAAATTGTACAGTATTATTTTTAAAATAGCTGCAGCATTAAGAGTTGATTTCGTATGAAAATAATTACGTTTGATGATAGATCCAAGTTAACAGCCTTTTGAACTTAAGCGCCTCATATCGGCAGTCATATTTTTGCTGTCATTTTCTATGAATATTAAAAATATTCGAATGCAACGTCTAGGCCAAGACATTATTCACTCATTTGAATAAGAATATAGACGCATATTGGCGAAACAGCAACTGGTCGTTGGAGGACAAATTTCAGACTATTTTAAAGCAATATGTATCAAACATATTAAAAAATTTTAATATCAAATTAATTACTGAAACCGCCTTGAAAATAAATTTTGTATGTACATATACTTGTAATGACCAATGACATAATACACTTCATATAGTTATGTAACCTGCCTCTTTACGGATAGCTGCCTTAAAAGTCTGTGCAAAGTATTGGAGGCAGCTTAGCAAATTATACTGTATGTACATATATGTGTATAGATTTTCAACAAAAACGTACAAATTACAGGAATTTGGATAGTAAAAGTGAAATTTTATATCCTAATTACATCAATTAGCAGAACTTTGAGATAATTTTTGCAACGGAATTTGTTTAAATATGAAAAGAATTTGCTTCGACCTCGACTTTATCATTTGTAATTTGAACTTTCATTAAAATAAAACGAATGCAGCATATTCCGCCCCTCTCACCATAATTGGCCATACGTTACATAATAATTTGTTTGTTATTGGCTTATTAATTAAATGAACTCAAATTGCTGTGCTAATTAGAAAGGTTTGGGTAGATGAATGTATGCGGTTGCTACGGTAACAGTGCCAACAACTGTATTGTTGTTCGCCACTCGCTTGTTGTTGTTGCTGTTGCGTTTAAAATAATAATCAGCAGTTTATTGAGCACATGCCCCAAAAAGTAGGCAGCACATTTGCAAATGGCTAAGGTGCCAAATAGTATGTCCCTGCGCAAGTATTTGCACAGCACCATTATGATGACATTAAATGTGTGTACAGTGCTTGTCTGCGTCTATGTCTGTGTTTGAGTGTGTGTGCGTGTGTGTGTGTTTGTTGGCGTAATATGCGCACGTAATTTGTTAATGATATTTAAATAATGAACACGCACATAGTTTGCACACTCACACGCACAAATATATGGCAGCGCATAATCAGAATACAAATAAACATAATCAGCATATAAGTAGAGCACAAGGCATCCCCAAAGCGCGTGCCGCTTCAACTGTCTGTCTGTCTGTCTGTCTGTCTGTCTGCCTATCTGCCTATCTGCCTATATGCCTGTCTGTCGTTATGCTCTGCCCTTGCGCACTCGTATTCTATGCCAGCTCTCCCTGCCTGTTTGCCTTTCTGACTGCTGGCCCATTGGGGCGCTTGCTTTTTGAGTCGCGGCGCCGCTAATAACAATATGCATGCTCATAATGAATAATAATGATATATAGAGCTCCCAGCAATCCACCCTCCCTGCCTGCTCAAACAATTGCTGGCACGCAGTATTCTGTGTGACATCGAAATTAATTCGTATTACACCCAACCACCTATCCACTTTTCCCCACCAATACACAACATGCCCTCACGCTTCAACTGCCTTAAATCAACACTAGGCCCCATGCATGCATATAAAAGGCCTGCACGAATGGAGTTTTGAATGTTCGGAGTGAGCAGAATAAGTAAACGAACGCTAAATAAGTCTAGCTGGAATTTCGACCATTTATGCAATCATTTATGGTTCAATAATGTTAACTTTTAGATGCCCCATTATTTAGAGAGAACAATATAATCATAAACAAAGCAGCAATGATTCAAATTATTCCCAGATCTTCAAAAAATTTGTAAGCAACCCTGTCACTATTTTCTATCGAAAGAACTTATTTAATAATTTCATAATTCCAGTAGATGGTTTTTGTCTTAATAAATACAAGTGCTTAAATCATGAATTTAATGAATCTGAATAGTCTGAATTGTGAATCCGACTCCCTTTGCTTAGCTTCAACGCACATGCACAAATATTTGAAGTACTATATATATCCAAGCTGACTTCAACACTTTTTCGCTGACTTAGTATGAGCATAAAAAATTCGGGTTCATTGGGTTAATAAAACAATTTGTTTTGAGAAACATGCCTCAATTATACGCATATGCGCGTGATATAATATATATATGTGTGTGTGTGTGTGTGAGTGGGTGTTAATTGCCATTGTTTAACATTCGCTAATTTGGCGAAATGTATAAACTTTTTACTGCTGGCTTTGCTTTGTTACCGCCAAAAGTTTAATTGTTGTCATGTATTTTTAAATATCCCCCCAGGGCACACGCAAATGTCCCCAAAATGTGTGAGTTTGCATGTTTGCCTGTGTGTGTGTGCATGTGTAAGTATTGGTGCTTGTTTGTCTGTTAATTGTTTTGCAGTTACATTCAAGCTGAGTGAGCAGCGAGTAAATGAGTTGGTCGGTAGTTTGGTCGCTCGCTCTGTTGCTCGGTAATGAGTTGATGGCCACAGCCCGCTAATTGCCAACAGAAGCAGCTGCAGTGGCTTTTAATCAACAGCTTGGTCTGTCAATTATGTGAATATAGTAAATTGTGCGCTTAGGGACAACATTTTCTATAATACAGTGCTATTAAAAAAAATAGCAATCTATCCAACTTTTTCAAAAAAAAAAAAAAAATACACAGTAAATATTTTAAAACTAACTGAACAATTTAATAGATTTGATATGATAATAACAAAATAATTATTCGCATGATATCTAACTTTTCAAATTAAATACCTTTTCAAGAATTTATCATACACTATCTAACAATGTTGGGCTAAATAGTTATCTTCGAATGTATGCCTTTACTGAAGAAAACGTTATGCCTCGAACTATACAGTCACTGCTTCCATATATTCTTATATTATTACTTTTTTTTTGGCAAATGATCATCCATGGTCACTATTCGCGACCCACGAAAGATGCGAAACTATATGAGCAGATATGTATGACTACAATACGCAATTCCGCTCCATTATCTTTAGACATAAACAAGTTTCTAGTATAACTCTTCTCAAAATATATTGTTTCTATTACAGCTATATGGTATTTAATGAACTGACATTGTAGATTTTGACATCTATCTGTGTCCGTCAAGAAGATGCCTCGGTGCAGAATTTTATCAATTGCTTTATTTATTACCGCTTTATTTCTATATGATATACATACATAAGCAAGTTTCTTAGAAATAATTTTCTCATATTAAAGAAAGCAGCAATTTCTACTTATTTCCAAACTAAATCTCTTTATCTAGGCAGGCTGGGTGTGCGTTATAATTTTAAAATCAGTAAAGAGCTTTTAATGCTTTTAGATACATGTTTTAAATGTTTTAAGTACTCACCATTAGTTTAAAGAATGTTGGCATACATGGAGTAAATGCTGTTGCTAGTAGCCTGCAATTAAATATAAAAATGTCCACATTACTAATGTTTTTTTTTTTTTTAATTATTTTAAATATTTAACAACAAATATTTTTAAAAGTTTTCAAAAATATGAAAGTACAATACTTCGTAAGAAGATTATTAATTAATTTGAAATGCTAGCAAGTGACAACGATTAAAGAATCAACAATTACAGCTCTAGAGCAGAACGTAGATTTAACAACTATATATATATACAAGCACAAGATTACATTTAAGTTATTACGCTAGTCATTCCGTATTTATTTCTGATTTCTTACATGCATCCGACGAGTGGACGCAGAACTTATATCATTTTACAGTTCGGGTAGAGGGTAAAAATATAACATGTTCATTTGGAGTGGGGATTGCAATAATCTTAATATTTGAATAATAAAAGTATATTTTGAAACATTCATTCAAACATGAAATCGCGAGCTAACGGCTGCTTAATTTGATGATTCTTAGAAATTAAAGTTGCATGAAATGAAATTGGTTGTTATTTAAGAGACGGCGATGACTTTGTGATGATTCAAATGAAGTTGTTGTTGTCGCCTCTGGTATTGTTGTTGTTGTTTATGCTGCATGCAGAAAAGGTTAATTAACAACTTGATGCATATATTTGCAATTTAACACAGGCAGACATGGTGGCTGAGGAGACATGTTGCTGTTGTTGCTGCAGCAGCTGCTCCTTTGCTTATCTGTGGCAAAGCACTCCCAGTTAATGCCAGTAAGGCAGTCAGGCAGTCAGGCAGAGAGGCTGTGAGGCAGTGAGGCAGTCAGGGGGCAGACTGGATTGTTAGGTGGGTTGGTTTCTGGCTGGCACCGGAAGCTAAAGAAAGTTCAGTGCGCGCACACAAAAGATTTGCCGCTGACTCTGACGCTAAGCATAAAATACCCCGCACACAATGAGTACAGATATATTCAAAGGCACACGCACTAACAGACACGTACAGGAACACACATAGGCGTTTTTGGAATTTTAAGGATGTCGCTTTTTACAAAACAGGATAATTAAATCGTTTTATGCGCTTAGTGAAAAATGATAAATGTGCCTCCCATCTCGGGCGCGTTCTGTCTCCCCCATTTGTGTGCGTATGCTTGGGCTTTTTGGAATTCGGATGATGCCGGAGAGCATTATGGTTGTTGCTATTGTTGTTGCCGTACACATAATTATCGGCATTCGCGCATATGTTGCGCCTTTTGCACCCCCTGATGAACCTTCGGAAGACGGAAATTTTCACAACGCTGCGTCAATGACAATAGCTCCGCTTCTTTTTCCGATTCGTGTACCATATCCTACTTATGTATATTCTATATCCCACATCGCATATTCCAGCTGGAGACGCTGGAGCGTTGTGTGTAGCTCCCTGCTGTGTTACTTTAATCCATTTAAAATCTTTACATTTGATTGACAGCGATTTTCAACTGTCTGTCTGGCAGCCGCATTGCCACAGCCAACTAAGCACCCTGCATGACAGCCACATCCAATGCTATCCCCAACTTAACATCCATTCCTATCAACAGAGCATCCCCATCACCATCCCCCAGGACGATTAATTGAGTGCAAATTTGACTCGTTCGCATTGACTTGGCAACTGAATTTCAGTCTCACTTGGGGCCATTGTAAACAGTTTGGCAACCAAGCAGGCAGCCAGTTAGCCAGCCATCCAGCCAGCCAACCAACCAGTCAGCCAACCAACCAGGCAAGCACCTCGGGCGATCCAATTCTCATCTCAGCTGTGGCAACGTTATTTGCAAATAATTTTCACATAATTTTGTTATAATTGAATTTGGGGCATTAGGCTCCGATGCTTGTCTAAGTGTGTGTGTGTGTGGGCGAGTCAACTGTCATCAATTCAATACACAAATGATTCGATTTTGCATTTCGCAATTTCCCACAGACGCATATAAATTTTGATTGACATTTGAAATGATTTCATTTTTCATGTGCCACTTGATTAGCATCGTCGACATTGTCAGAGGAATTTGTCATACTTGTAGAAGTGCAGCACAACCGGGCTTTGTTTCATTTAGGCTTTTCGATAAACAAGCAACAAAACAAGAACTCACATGCGAGTAAACATAGTAAGCGCCTTTAAACTAAATGAATCGGCAATTGTTCGAATTGAACATCGTCTGTTAACAATCATTATTTTATGGATCAATTAAATTAAATGACACTCAAATAATAAGTTGAAAGCATTTTAAAATGCACTCTACAGTTGAAGAATTTAAAAAAATGTACATATATGCAGTAAAATGAAATGCAGGTGCAATAAATATTAAATAAATTAAATATTTGAGTGTTTTATTGAGAAATGTGCATTCACCAAGCAATTGAGCAATTTGTTTAATTTTTGTAAATTGTTGATAGCAGATCAATTTGCAGAAGTTGTGCATTGTAGTGAGATTTAATATATGTACTTGTATGAAGTATGACCATAAGTTATCAAGAATCCACTTTAGTGATTAATCGAAAAAGAAGACCACAACAATTGAATATCAATGTCAATTCATGTCCAGAAAGAACCAGTCTATAGATTGTCGGATTATTATGACTAGTCAAGCTTTTGGATCAGAATCAACACATTCGATTCATCAGTTCAATTATTTTGGGCATTTCAGCTTATCAAACAAAGAGCATTGGAATCCATTTTGGCAACACAGATTGTTTTAAAAAGGTCCAGCCTTTCAATTATGTGTAAAGCAGATAGCAATGTGATATCGCCATAGCGCACTTTTCAAAAAGAATATTTTAAAAAATTAATTGAAACAATTAGGAGAGCCATCAGTGGAACCTGACTTCCATCCACAAAATAACCGTCAAAACAACCGTAAAACATTAGCTTGGAAACAGCTAGACAGTAGCTAGCGGGGAACTCGCCCTCATGGACAGGATGCTCCCAAAAACAGGGCACACACACAGAATGAACGAGGATGCAAAATGTGGTTGGGCGAAAAGGAAAGAAGAGAGAGGAAGAAAAAAAAACAACGCTGGCAAACAAGCAAGAAAATAATTCACTTAAAATCAAATAAAATTTAATTTACTTTCAACGGAAATGCACACTGGGGGTGGCACTTTAACAGACAACGGTGGTGTAGCACCAGACGGGCATGAATGGCTGGATGGGTGACAGAGCGAGAGAACGCTGGGACAGATAAAGGGACAAACACAAATGCAGCATAAGCTGCAAAGACACAAACAACGGAAGGGAAGTGGAAGCGGAAACAAAAGCAACAAACAACAAATGGGTCCGAGCAGGGTAGCTAGCTTCGAATTTATTGCAAGTTGAAGTAGACGAAGGTTAAGTTGTTGCTCGAGCTAAACGTTCCCCCTGGGCAAGCTCCTTGCAGGCCGTAGCTGTTGTTGTTTTCGTTGTTGCTTTAGCGTCTTACATAAACAATAATGCAGTGTCGAACTAGCCGCACAATAGCAACAAAAACAACGACAGCAATGAAAGGCGGCAGGCAATGGTCCGCCTGCCAGTGACACGAACCCAGCCTGTCTATTGCACAACTGACCGCAAACCTGTCTTCCCTGCAACCCATTCTCATGCTTATCCACGGTCCGAGTACCTAGTAGTGCCATCGTGCCCATCGTCCCCATCTTCGGCTTGGTTGCTAGGCGGCCGTGTGTCTCATTTCATCAAAGTTAATTTACTCTGCTCAAGTGCGGCAAGCAACTACCGACTATCGACCGAGCTGCCAGCAACTACCTATCTATCGTAAGAGAAACTAAGGACTACCGATTGCCGAGCAGTGCATAAATGAAACCGTGTCAGCTTGACATTTTATTATTGTTTATTTGATTGTATTCAATTCCATTCCATTCTATCCCATACTTCTTTTGTGTATCCTGATATAACAGCTTGGTATAAAATGTCTACATCGGATAAAGCAGGAAACGATTTCCTTTGGCTTTTGTGGAAAGCTTCCCATGTATATTTATTTACTAGTTCTTTTATTCTAATTTCTGAGAATTAATTACTGAGTGAGCTTGATGTTAAGCCCTATTCAATATTTTTTATGCGTAAATTGAACTGGAGTTTGTCTAAAGAATATTTACCATACAAGTATTGCTAACTAAATATAATAATATAATCCCTTATTTGTTTGTTTAAAATAGATTTTTAATTAAAAAAAATATGCCTTAAAATAATTAAATGCAATTATTTGTTTCTTGTGTTCATCACATTGTTATTAAATTGATGGAAGTTTTCTTCGTCTTGTGCAATTTTTACCCTCCTCATCATAAGGAAGTGTATAAGATTTTCGTTGTGTTTGCAATCTGAATTGATATTATTCTTCTACAAGTATTGTGGAGGTTGCAGTGCGTTGAAGGTTGGGTTTGTAGTTCGCTGTGCTCGTGGCACGTTTAAATATTTACCTAATGCCACATAACTCAGCCATGACCATTGCCACGACCGCCAACACGACCACGCCCACCAGCCACGCCCACTCGCCACACCCAGACGCTCAACAGCTGCACATCAGTTTGAATTTCTATTTCAATTACTCTTTTGTGCTTTGTTTTTCAACTGTTGCGCCCGCAGGTAAGAGCTTTGCAGGAGCTGTCTAAAAAAAAAAAAAAAAAATAAAGGAAGGACCAACTCCACCCAGTGCACATTATATATTGTGAAATTTGCGAGGTTAGGGCAACATAAAAACGGATTTACCGACAACAACAGGACAAACAACGACGACACACGTCCAAAGCAATAAAACATTCGAGCTAAAGTTGAAGCTGCAGCTGGAGCTGATGCTAAAGCTACAGCTACAACTATAGCTATAGCTATAGCTGTCCTGGCAGTTAGAGCTCGAGCGTGTCCAATGGAGGAGCAGCAGCTGGTGGTATCGGCCCGGGTTTGGTGCATTTTCATTGTCGTTAAGCAAATAAACATTCGCATACGTCACCTAATCCGCTCGCCCATTGCGGCTCGGCGCCTCGCAAAGACAGTTTAATTCAATTGATTCCAAAATGATTTAAATATTGCGGGCACACTTCTCGGCTAAGCCCTGGTCCTGGACAGGATACTGGACCCATTGCCGTTTTAACTGTCACAGCCATTTGTTTTTGTTGTTGCTTCTGTTGTTCACTTGTTTGACTGTTCGACTGCTCACCTGTCGCTTATTTATTTATTTACCATTTTCCATTTTGCATTTTCCCATTCTACCACATTTGCCATCTCCTTGTGTATTTATTGCTCCAGAGCTCAGCTCAGCTCAGCTCAACTCAGCTCACATCGACGCGTCCGGTTCGGTTCGGTTCGGTCCGGTCCGGTGCGGTCTGAACTTAAATTGAGCTGTGTGTGTAGAGTCTCGTGCAACACATTTATTTAATATTCATGGTTTTGACCATGTTCAGGATTGAATTGCCACTGGATATCCGGACATTATGCTGACACTGAATTGGCTTATGTGGCGTTTGATTTGACTGCGTGGAGATTGCCTAATCCCTATGACTAGGTCCGCCATTCTACATCTACACCGATTGGGTTAATGACGAGCCACACACTTATTAGGAATTAATCAATTTTATTCATTTTCTGTACTGCAAACGGACAGATACCTTTCAGGTATGAAAATATGCTGCTAAAAATATTGTATTTTCCTTAGGTCTTTAATTCTGATGCACATTTAACATACTTGTAGAATTTAAAATTGTGTTTTCAATCAATTTCTAAGGCCTTTTTACATTCAATCGCTTATTGATCGCATAATTCAAATCCCTTACCACCAAAGGCACAGTTCAAGTTATTCTCAGTTGTCCAGTTATATAAGAAGCTAATTAGATTAAATAAACGGTTGCTTTTTTATACCCTGTACCTGAATGGTCAAATACACTAGAAAGTCTATGCGAGATCTATTGATTCCTAATAGTTGGGAAACTTGGTAAAAGATAAAATAACGATCACTAATTTAAATACTTATTAGTTTTTTGTAGTGTCCCTTGATGTACTGAAGCTTCTTCAAAATCGGCGCACCATTTTTTTTTAAAGCTTTTATGGAAATGAATTGTACAACAAAGTTCATTTTTGTTGAATAGCTGTAAGCACGACTTAATGGCTCTACTAGTTTTTATCTGAATTAAATCTGGTTTAATATTTTGAAATTAATTTTCATTGATTTGTGGTTTTTTAAGACATATCTTCAGTTTTGTGCTGGTTAATACTATATATACACAGCCTCCAATAAGTATCAATAAAAAGTTATATATGTAACTTTAAGTTTGATTTAATTCAATTATTATTAAAATCGGAAATATTTCTACTATCTACTAATAGGTGTGTAGTAATGTTGTTGGTCTTGTTTTAAACTCGTCTTTCCTATTCAGTTTTCTATAAGAGGTTTGCACATATACGTATACAAGTATAAACCTTTTTGTAGGACATTCCACATGCATTGTGGTTGCATATAAATAGAAAGTGACTTTGTGTGGAGCAATATTTGCCAAAGTGGACAAAACTGTCATGTCTGTGTGTCTTTCTGTTGTTGGTCCGTTGCTCTGTTGGTCTGTTTGTGTGGGCCAAATGCTAAATTAATTGTGGCTTAGAGTTTAAAAGACAAATATGAGCCTTAACGTTTGGGGTTTTATGTGCTTTAGTTTGTTGGCAACACTAAGAACGTCAACATCAAGTACAACGAGAACAACAATAAAATTGTGTATTTGTGTGCGTTGCATTTTATTAGTCTGTCCATTTGTTCGCCCATCCAATTGTTTGTTGTTTTTGTCGCTTTTGTTTGCTTGCTTTTTGTTTGCGGCTTATATGCACACCATTTTTGATGGCAACTTTTACACATAAATTATGACATGAACCCACAAAGACACACACACACACACACACACACACAGAGACGTGCACTCAGGTGGTTGGCAAGTGCGGGTGCGTGAGTTGTTTAGTTGGTTGTTTGGTTCGTTGGCGCCGTTTTGTGTACTGACCAAAAGTGTAAATGTTTCGGAAAATATTTCGTTGCATACCGCAGGGCGTCGCGTGCGTGTGTGTGTGTGTGTGTTTGTGTGTGTCAGTGTCTTTATGTAGCATTTCATGTGCCATTTAAATTTATTTGCTTAACTTCCATTGCCTGGCCAACGTACATGGGACGATCCTAGGGACCAAAGGACGAGCCTGGCGACGACCCAAACGGGCGCTTTATTAACATCATCATTATTTTGAAGTTTTGTGTGTTTACGTTATGTTTGCACTGTGCAGGCGGGCAGGTGCAGGCAGAGGTAAATGTGTTTGTTGCCTTTTCATTTGTGCATCAAATTAGGCAAATGTTGTTTGTTTAATTTAGCAGCTTCTGCAACAATTTGCCATACAAATTATGAAACAGCTGCAGGAACAATCTGCAACAGACAATGCAAATCCCAAATGCTGGGGCTGGTTGCGTGTCTTTTTTAGAGAGTACACAGTATGTTTAATGTGTGCAAATTTTAACTTACCGCCTGGGTTTGTGATTTAAATGCACGGTCCATTATAGCTGCACATTAATCTGTAAGAAACCGAGAAGTAAACATAAGCATTGTAGAACTTTGTTCAAATCTAACACTATATATTATATAAGTATGTTATGCTCTGCTCGAATTTTCAGAATCAAAACATTTTTGCAATTTGCGCTTTCAACCGATTATGTAGGAAGGACGTCTGACATTCAGAGAAGCAAATGAAAATCGTCATATAAATATGATTTGATAAAAGCTATGAGCTATGTTAATATTTCAACGTTTCTTCGGTCCACAAAAGCGATCAACAATTAACTGACAAGTCGGCAGTGAAAAATAAACTTAATATTATATTACTATATATTAATATTATATAATATTGAAATGTGGAGTACTAGGCTAAGATTTTAGAATATTTACTGATGCTTAAAATGAAGTGATAGTTGAATAAATAATGGTAGGTGAAGCTATGAATTTCGATTAAGAGTGATATTGTGGCAACTAGAACTATTTTGTTTGCCAAATCGATCATAAAACATGTACAACGATGTGATTAACCGAAAAGGCATAAGGACATATAAATATTAGTATCCCAGTTTTAAGCTCACTTTCTCGGCTAATACCATGTAGTTATTGATAGCCAATACTTTGAAACTAATCCAATTCAGCTCTTTTAAAACTAACTATTCTTAATTAGCTGCGCGTGTTAATGCATATTTTTTGAAAATATTGCAAAGTCCTTAAAACTAAGCGATGGTTAAACAGATAATGTTAGGTAAAGCTATGAATTAGATTAAGAAATAGATTAAGAGATGAAATACAGTGGCAGCTAGACCTACTTTGTTCGTCAAGTCGATCATGTAGCGATATGAACCACTGAAAAGGCCAGGACACATAAATATTAGTATTCCAGTTAGTAGTTATTGATAGCCAATGCTTTGCGACTAATCCAATTCACGGTAAGGGATTTCAATGGCAGTTAAGTGGCAGTCAATTTTCAATCCCACTCTTTTTTTTTTAATTTACGATATGTTATCGCATCAAAGTAACCCACAACTAAAATGTAAGAAATACTTAGATTGTTTTATATGGCTTATTCATACTTGAGATGTTAACAGATGAAGTTCATATTTTTCTCAAAATTTTATCGGTATAGTCGGTTTTATAAAAAGTTTTTACACCATTTGCTTTTAGCCTATAGCGTAAAATAAACTAAAAGTAAAGCTTTCAAAGCCGCAAGCATGTCATGGATGCAAGTGTAAGTAGACATTCGTTTCATATTTGCGACTGGCGACGGCCTTTTCTGATGTTGTCCTTGCAGTGGCAGCCGAGCATTCTTTGCTGGCAGCAGCAACACTCAGCGAGGACGTGACGAGACCGCAGGATCTAAGCCTGCCGTAAGTGGCGCGCGCCGCCAACACACCACTGCAACGATCGGCAGCGGCAACGGATCTCAGATCCGCAATGATTTGGCCGGTCAACGAGGCGGACAGCCGTCAAGGATACAGCCACCAAAAATTCAGACGCACAATGTGCACCAGCAAAACGTTCCGCAGCCAATAGCACCAAAGTCAGTGGTGAAGCAGCAGCAAAGCCAATTAAAGCCCGAAGATTTGAATGAGCGAGACTGCATGGTGCTGTCGAATCCCACCGTAAATGATCTTATGAAGATCATTCACAATGCGTCCACCACACGTGACTTGAAACGGGTAATCATACTGGGTGGCACGACGGCCACGAACACGCAACATGCAGAGTCTCCAGAGCCACAGAAAGAGGTTCCACTACAAAATACTCTTACGAGGGAAGAGTTCGACCGAATCGACACCGATCGGATTGCCATTTCCCGCAAGGTAATTTTACTTTTCATTTCATCGCAGTTAGCAAAGTCATCGAAGGCTTATAACACTTATAATACTGTAGCACAAACAGCATCAGCAAATGGCCAAGTGTAGGTGTCAGAAGACCACGCATCGCTGTCGCATAATAGACAAGCCGCGCTTGCGTCGCGTTTTCTTGCGCGGGTATCCAATATTTTACAACATGCAGCCCCACTCGTCTGAGATCACTCTCAATGGAACCATTGGTGATGCAGTCGACTACTTGCTACCGCTCGAAGTCAGCAATGAGGCGACACAGCTGTTGATGATGTCGCCTGAAGGTGTGCCCAAGCTGGTACTCGACAGCAAGGCAACGAAGAAGCTATTGGATAAGGAGAAGGCAGAAGCAGAGCCCGTTGCTCTGCCCCGAGTGCTAGATGGCGGCCTCGAGCACCAGATGGCCATGCTTAATGCACTCTATGATCGTAGTCCGTTGTTGTCACGTTCTGGCAGTTCGCACTCGTTTACTCACGAGGATATCAGTAGCTATCTAAAGGAGGCCAAAAAAGTGCCTCTGCCGGAGACGTCCGATTCTCTTGAAGAAGATGAAACCTCCAAAAAAGTGTGCGCCCACTTGAATGCTGCCCGGGGATGTGGCATCTGTAGCTGCGAAATGTGCACCAATGCCGCAATGGCTTTGAGCGTCAGCTCGGCCAAGCGAATGGTTGATGAAGCTGTGCGGGCTGCGGTCCAGCCAGCTCCTCCTCAAGCTCCTCCCGCAGCACCCGCTCCTTCGGCGGCTTCTGTCGCATCAGCCAAACCCGTTAAGTCAACCATCGCACCATCGCCTAGTGCGGAACCGAAAAACACACGGTCCCACTATATTATCAACTTGGCACACATGCTCCTGGTCATCGCCTGCCTGCGTGGCATCATTTAGAGAAGCCCCGACTATACATGTGGCATACATTCCGATCACATGTATGTTTACATTCATATCCATCAAAATCTTTCGGCCGCTGCATAAAGACACATTTCTGCATAACATGTGTGTCGAAATTGCTTTAAAAAATTGTTCTAGAGTATTATTGGCGATTGCTATATCCGTACACGTATAGGTACACATTTATGTCGTTGCACACAATTTGTATAATAAACAAACAAAAAAAAAAAAAAAAAACCAAAAACCATGCTTTCGTTATACACTGATATGGATATGGAATATTTATATGTAGGAATATTTTATATTTAAGGTATTATGCAAGATCATGCAGCCCTGGTACGTTAGAGATCGATTGTTGAAAAGTATGGAAAAAAAGAGTTGTGTAAAGAAAAGGAGGATTATCACTTGGATTTTTTGTTGAAATTAAACTATTGAATGAACGCTTATCAACATCATTTGTATCTTAAAACAAAGAGTTTCATTGAAGAGCACTGAGATACAATAATAGGGAGACAAACCCCAAAATACATATTCAACCTACATTGTATTTAAACCCAAATTTAAAAAATAGAATACCGAAGAAAGTGGTGAACGCTTTGAGGATGCTTTACATTTTAAATAGAAACAATCTTAACACCTGGCGTAACTGCTTTCTGCAAAGAATATCGGGCATTAAATTTCAATCACGCTTTGAGATTCTGCAAACAGCCGGATTGAGCTAAATTTATGCTTTATAGTAACCAATGTTGTCGGTAAGACTATCCAAAATTGTAGAGCGTCCTAATACACATGTATGTATATGTATGTATACCCATTCTAAAGAAACTGCTCGATATACGTGCACTGATTTCGCTGCCTCCTCGGATAACTTTGACTGGTCTTAGCAACACATTATTGAGTAAGAAATTGCGCCGCCTTAACGCATAATAAGCGCAAACTAATTTCTAATATTTGTGCATGCAACCCTGGGCGGATGTTTACTGTTGGATGGCAACCCCGCCACGAAAAATCTAATAAACCAACTTGAAAGCTGTGTGATATGTGGTGGGCGGAGTGGTAGCGACGAATATAATTTCGCAAAAAACGGGAACGAACGAAAAGGAAAAAAATGCCGAAAATGTAAAATAAATAAACAGCAATTTAATTCTCTGGGGTTCGCCTGCCACGCCCTCAGCGTCAAAGTGGCAACGCCCATAAATTTCGGTAGCAATTTTCAATGTTGGTCGCCCCATCGCACTAATAATCTGCATTGCACACCTTGCTCGTGTTGAGGGGGAAGTTGGGTTGGATGGTGGGGGGGTTGTAAGCAAATACGGCCACCCCCCCAAAGCCATTACCCACACCAATACGTGTTTATGGTTGCCAGTACCCCCCACCAACGAACGCTGTGTGCCGCCCTGAATTCATCCCATCCCTTGGTCCGTGACGTCGTCACCGCCTGTTTTGACTTTGAAAATTGTTTCAAGTATCTTTCGGGTGTGTGCGCGCTTGGATTCACGCTCGAAACTTTTTGGCAATGTGCTGTGAAAAATTTTCAAGAGAATTGCAGCCGCAGGCAAGGCAACAACAACAACAACAGCAACAACAGCAACAGCAGCAACAGCAGCAACAACAACCGCAGCACCCAGCAGCAGGAAATGAAAATCAAATATGCCAACATTTTTCGGCAGCAAAATGAAAAGCCAGCCGAGGGAGGCCAAGACCAAGGAGGCACGACCGAAGAAACGACGCGACGCGTCGGTGGCTTCAGCAACAGGCAACAAGCGGCAGGCAACGAGCCGTGCAGCCAGCAGGGGAGGCGGACAGAAAAACAGGCTCGTCGAAGATGACGACAAGGCCGCCTCCTCGTTAGGTGTAGCAATGTTATTAACAGTTACCCGACAGGGCCCGACCATCGCCCATCGCCCATCGAGCACCTTGCCGGTGCCGTCAACCGACCAAGGAGCGACCCAAACAGGCAACCCAGACGCAAAGCGGTAGAACAGCGGGTGCGGAAGCAGGAACAGAAGCAGGAGCGGGAGCTGGGGTAGAAGCTGAAGCAGAAGCGAGCGCCCGGCACTGATTCTGACACGGCTTTTTGGTTTCAGGGTATTTGTCTTTCCACTTTCTTGAGCGTCGACGCCAACTCCGTCCCGTAATGGGTTGCAGGGGGCTTATTTTGAAGCACCGCTTGTTTTTGCCTGCCGGTGGTTATTCGATAGGTGGTAATGGTGGGTGGCGACAGGAGGCTGGAGGCTGGTATTCCTGGTCCATGGCATGCGTATCTTCAGCCTTAGATCCATATTAGCACGTGCTAATGAGCAATTTTGTAAAGTGATAACATTTTATTCCACTTTTGTGCATTGCTTCGGGGCGCTAAGCAGGAAAAAAAAAATTGGGCCCTCGTTGTCCGCCGCTTAGGCCGGCGACTGTTACGGCTCTTAGCTGGCGAGTGATGTGGAACTAGAGATGGGAACTATATGGAGTTGAATGGCCTGGCATGAGTGGATTGTGTGGGGGGCTTGTAAATAAAGCTCTAGTCCCAAATCAGCTGAGTGATCTCGATGGCATATGTTAAGTACTTGTACAAACTATGCTTAAACAATGACACGTGTTGCTTTCGAAAGTTGGTTTTCCGAATTGATTGTGTGAGCATCTAAACGGAATGGAATTCAATCTATTTACTAGGATGTGTCGAGTGTGCTCGAGTTCGATATGAGTTTAATAATGCAATAATGTTCCGACGATTTATAGGTTGGCAGACATAAGAGACTACAGACTCTTCCAGTCCATTAGTCATCCAATTATATGCTAAACATTCCTCAGATGAATAACGCCCACTCCAAATCACGACTTTCCCCCAAATGTGTCGTCTTCATTGTTTGCCAAGTGCAATTTAAGCGCAATTTTCCATTACGGGGAACGGGCAACGGGCAACAGGCAACGGGCAAGAGGCGAACAGAATGTCCTGGGAAGTCCTGTTAAACTTGTAACACAATTATTTTTGCGTTTATTTCTTTTTTATGCTTTGTTCAAATTTTTTCCTTTTTGTATATTAAAAATATTTGCCGTAGCCTTGTGCCAATTTAATTTGTCGTCGCTCTTAAGCCGTGGCCGCATGCGTGTCGCCGTCATCGTCAGCGCCTTTTATCATATTATTTGTTTATTTTACCGGCGGCAGCCAGCACGTTGGTGGTGAGATCCAGCCTTAACGCCCCACCACCCCCTCCCCCTGCCCGGTCGCATGCCCACTGGCAGCAGAGCGGCAGTGAAATTAAAGGCAGCGCCTTATTTGTTTTGCGGATTAGAGCATTAGAGCAACTTAATTATCATGATCATCATCCTACCTATAATGGCAACCACTCAGGGGTTGGCAACCGAAACTCTCTGAGGGTAGCTTTGACTTCCCTTTTCCATTTTTGCATAACACTTTATTTGGCATATCAATGGCAGGCAAGCAGCTTGAGCTCTTCAGCTATTCGGCTACAGTTTTATTTCGAGATTCATCTGCAGCCTTAATCGAGTATTCGTCAGTAGCTTTTAATTGCAAGTTCACTTTTGTTGTGCAACAAATAACAATGCTTCTCAGCTGTCGCCACTTGTGTGTATAATCCACTTTATGGCTCAAAAAGGCTCAAGCATGCCGTTTGGCTTCCTTTCGGCACATCAGCACGATGGCAAGCCGAATGACATAATGGCTGAATGGCTGAATGGCAGAATGAGAGTCAAGCAATCGAAATGTAGCCACTTTTTGGTTTCTGCCATTGACTTTGCCAACTGAATTTCACTCAAGCATCATTAAAATGATCAAAAAATAAGTGCAATTTTATTACGTAAGCGTGTTCGTCTGCAAATCGGCTTACGGGTATATATGCAAATGAAAATCTGAATGGAGGGTTAGCAATGAAAAAGTGTTTGTCGGAATGTTCATCGGCTTGCTTGTGTGTCCAAGAGTTAATTATTTTATTCAATATTTCAAATTTGTTGCGAACTCTTGACTCGACTCTTCGCAAAGGATTACAATTCATTCTGTAACTGCATCGCATGAGGATGTGACAAATGCAATAACAATTATTTGCATATTAAAATAGGAAGGCTGTTTAATTTAAACAATGTTCATTCGCATATTTTTTTCAAACCTGTTGTTTTGGCTTACCAATGAATCAAAATTGCATATGAAAATGAAATTGAACCAATATAAACAAATTTACATCCTATAATTATTTATGCAAGTATTTGCGAATATTAATGATGTTACATTTTTTTATGGATGGTAGAAGCTAGAAAAGTAAATTACATATTCATATTTAGCACATAAATAAATAAATTAATCCAAATGTAGTTAAACAGCTGTAGTTTTGCGTGTTTTCACCCAAGCAATAAGAAGTGAAAAAAGAACCAGGGAAGCATTGTTTTGGTTCGGTGCAGTAATGAGGCCTAATTGAAAATAAGTCATGCGTTTTTATATATTTGCAACATATTTGTATGCATCGATACCCTCGAAAAAATTAGTGAGATTTTAAATTCATTTGAAAACATTTCAATCAGCATACTGATACAAGCTATATGTATGAATAATTTACTTGTTGACCTGAAAGAATTATGGCAAGGAAAACATGCAACGACGCCTAGAAGGATTAAATTTTGTCTCAGATAAGGAGAAGCTCTCGCAGAGCTCAAGACTCGGCCCCATGTAACAATAAGAATAATAGTTTCTTGTGGAAATACTTGAAAAGCTTATTTTTTACTCTTGCCGAATTCTTGTCGGAACAAAACTTTACAATTGCATATGAAGCTGTTTGTGAATCCTAACGCTAATCTGCTAATTTACGGGTGTAATCGAATAAGTTTTTGAAGAACGCATTGCAGAAGCTGCTTAAGGAAAAGACAAAGCTATTTATTTAATTTTATTGATTCGCTCACAATTTAATGATTAATTTTGAGTTTAATTTTTCAATTTAACTAATAGCCATTATTTTTGGGCAAAAAAATAAAACTCATTTAATAATGGGTATTCTTTAAGTTTCATTTTTTCGATCAAAAATAACCCTCAAGTTGTAAGTGTCCCTGCCTTTTCCTAGGGAATAAGGACATCATTTATATGTCCTTTAAGTCAGTAAGCCAAGACGAACGCCTATAGTAGAGTTTTGGGTCCTTAAAAAATATTTTCAGGTAGAATTATATATTTTTTGCTGAAAAAATAATGAACATTAGTTAAGCTGTAAAGTAAAACCCCAAATTAAT